CAGCTCGCGCTCCAGCAGAGGACGCGGGGCCTCGTTGTCTCCGCAGCAGCAGCAGCAGCAGCAGCAGCAGCAGCAGCAGCAGGAGAAACAGCTGTAACAGCAGCAGCAGCAGTAGCAGCAACAGCAACAGCAGCAGCAGCAGCAGCAGCATCTGTACTCACCACCACACTGGATGCAAGAACAGCTCCTGCTGCTGAATGCAGCGCTGCTGTAGCCAGGCAGTTGGTGGCGCTGCTGCTGCTGCAGCTGCTGCTGCTGCTGCTGCAGCTGCTGCTGCTGCAGCCGACACCTGCAACAAAGAGGCAGCAGCAGACAATGCAGATGAGGTAGGCTCAGCACCAGCTGCTGCTGCTGCTGCTGCTGCTGCTGCTGCAAACGTGAAATCTGCCACAACAGGAGCGAAGCAGCCTGCAGCAGCAGCAGCAGCAGCAGCAACAGCAGCAGCAGCAACAGCAGCAGCATCTACGAAAGCAAGAGAACCAGCAGATGAAACAGAATCATCAACAGCAGCAGCAAGGAAGGCAACACCACCTGGAGCAGCTGCAGCAGCTGCAGCAACACCAAAGCCCAAAACAGCAGCAGCAGCAGCAGCAGCAGCAGCAACAGCAGGTGCAGCAGCAGCAGCAGCAGCAGCAGATGGAGAGGGAGGATCGTTAGGTGAATCATCATCCTTCCCATGCTATTTTTGTGGTGGCAGTTGTCGCGATCTGAGTGCATGCAGTGCTGCTGCTGCTGCTGCTGCTGCTGCAGTGAACGCAACTCTGCTGCGCTGCAGCAGCATCCTAGCTCAGCTGCAGCTGCTGCCTTGCTGCTGCAGGCTGCCGATGCATGCAGAGACAGACGCTATAGAGCTCGCCAACATACACCGTCTGGTGGCTTCAGTAGCAGCAAACAAGGCCCCGCTTCATGCTGCTGATGACAGCAGCAGCAGCAGCAGCAGCAGCAGCAGCAACAGCAGCAGCAGCAGCAACAGCAGCAGCAGCAACTCAGCGGGGACGCCTACTTCGAGAGGCAAGAGAACCGCCAGCTGCAACAAGCATGCTGCTGCTGCTGACAGCTGCAGCCCTGCTGCAGACAGCAACAGCAACAGCAGCAGCAGCAGCAGCACGAACAGCAGCAGCAGCACGAACAGCAGCAGCAGCAGCAACAACAGCTGCAGCACAAGCAACAAGGAGAGTCCTCACAAGCTGAGTCCCCATGATCAGCAGCAGCAGCAGCAGCCCCAGCAGCAGCAACAGCAACCGCAGCAGCAGCAGCAGCAGCAGCAGCAGCAAGACATACCTGCTTCTTCTTCTTTTCGTCAGGGTTATGTTACTGCCCCCATGCAGCGACACCAGGCGCTGCAGCAGCTGCGGGGGGGGCTGAGAGCAGCAGTAACAGACGCAGCAAGTGAAGGTTTGCTTGTATACTTTTTCTCTCCCTGCACCAGCAGCAGCAGCAGCAGCAACAGCAGCAGCAGCAGCAGCAGCAGTGGG